GGGGGCGTGCCTCACGATCGGATTTGGGTACATTGAGCTCTTGTGGTTGGATGGAATTCAATTTTCCGGGAACCCATGTCGTCGAGATGAGCGGGATGCCGGCATGCGCCGTAGCATGGGTGGGAATCCGGCACGGAGCTGTTACGGACAGAATCGGCCTCTCATTCCATCTCAGCGATGTCGCGAGAGCGCTCCTGATTCCGTCGTCAACTGCCATCCAGTCTTTTATATGTGGTATCAAGTATCATTGCGACGTAGGCGTTGCATTCCTTTCGCCCGCTGGTCTATACCTGATTGAAACCCGACACTGTCAGCTATTGTGCGGTAACGACCGCAATTCAGAAAACGAATGATACGTAGATGGGGCCTGATTACAGGAGTTGTCGCAACGAATTTTGGTATAGAAAGCTTCATCCTCCATGAGCGGAGAAAGCTTTAGTTGGCATGATAGAACAAATAGTACATCCATTGTTCAACAGCTGGGCCACGAGTCACTCTCAGTGACACAGTGTCAGCAGTGTCAAGTTTCATTTAACCATCCATGATGTGTTATCCATTCCAAGATCAAAGATAGGTCCCCTGGACGGAAACTTCGAGTTACTTATGTTTAGATTTGCTGTGCGACGGCACAGGACTGTGACCGTCATCGCCGTACCGATCTTAGCACTAGGCCATCTCCGGACACCGATATGTCAGACGGAGGAAGACACAAGATGTCTTATCCGAAGGAACCGGCCAGACGGGGCGAACTAGAAACCTCAAGCGCTGTGTCGCTTCTTTTGGTCAGCCTGTGCCGCTGTTTATCTGGATCTGAAGGATCATGTCAGGCCTGTCTTGTGGCCGTCATTGGCTGGAATTGCATAAATGCTTACGGACAATTGAGGCAGAAACAGCACGGCGAGATAAACTGGGGCTAGCGCATACTGCCATCGTACAACAACAACACGCGGCACAGAACCTCATCGTACTTCTCAAACAGCCAGGGTTACATCCACTTTAAGAGAGTTTCCAAAGTTATGTTATCACTTTTGTCGTGTGGACATGGAAAACCTCAAAGATGAATTCCGCACAGAGCGCCTTCTCTATCGAGGCGTCCAAGCCGACGACGGTGCCTGGATCCATGACGTTCTTCGCAATGACTCTGTTATCCAGTCGCTCTCCAGCCCTGCTTTGCTGCGGCCGACTACCAAGTCCAAGGACGAAGATATCTACCAAAGATATCAAAACGCCATGTTAGGCGTTTTGATCTGTCTTATACCAGAGAGTATAGACCAAGCTTCGCAAAGGATCGGCACGATGATGTTGAACGTGCCAGCTTATGCATCGGCTGCCAACCACAACCGCCGATGCGAGCTGGGAATCTCGCTTGCCCCAGAATTCCAGAATAAGGGGTATGGAACAGAGGCTATCACGTGGGCCGTTGACTGGGCATTCCGCTTTGCGAATATGCACTGTGTGTACCTCAACACGATCTCATTCAATGTCCGAGGGCAGAAGGTCTATGAGAAGATTGGCTTCAGGCTAGAAGGACGACTGCGACATTATAAATGGCATGACCGACAGTGGCACGACCAGCTACTATACTCCATCCTCGAGGACGAGTGGGAGGACATACAGAAGGCTAAAGCTGATGCAAAGGCCGTCAAAGAGGAGATATGATGTGATTGTCCATTTCATATCATTTTCCAGGCACCCATCATATGAGTCGTCTGTTGCTTTCCCAACACTGTGATGGTTGAATATATTCAAGACAGCGTCTATCTAGAGAGCCATTGCGTGTTCTGATAACGTGACAAATGTTAGGTAATCGTGCAGCACTAAAGTGTGACCAACTAATGGTAATTCCTCCACCTGACCTTTCACCAACCATTGCCTCGTGCCCATGATGTCGCGTACTCCTCTTGCCATAGTTCAGAAATTGGATCATCTCGTACTCACCTGTGCCAGCGTCCAGGCGACGACACAATGGTATTCCAGGTATCTGGGCATGAAAGCCGAGACCTTCGTCTCGGCTGCTGATCCTCAAACCCCGCGTGTGGCGCTCAAGTTTGGCACGCAGAAGATAAATCTACATCAGAAAGGCAAAGAGTTCGAGCCGAAGGCATTGACCGCCCTCCCAGGAACTGCGGATTTATGCTTCTTGATCCAGACCGACACAAACCTTGAAGATGTGATTGAAGAATTCAGAAAGGACGGAGTAGAAGTGCTGGAAGGCGGGAAGGTGGTGCCAAGGACTGGTGCAAATGGCACCATCCGTAGTGTATATGTCAGAGATCCGGACGGCAATTTGATCGAGTAAGTATATACAATCACCTTGTCTTTCTATTAGGGCCGGCACACTTTAGAAATCGTACTGAACTATTCCTACTCAGGCTCTCGCAGTATTCAAAATAGACAGAAGAAAACTTCCCATAACGCTGCTTGTCTTGAATGTGACTTTATGTACATTGATACCACGATCACGTTTGCACAAGATGACTTGGCTACAGTCACATCTAGCATATCAGACAAGCACTTGAGTGCATCGCAGTTTTAGCGTCTTTGAGTGCAGCGCCATTCACAGTCCGAGGTCATCAAGAGCAAAAAGAAAAAAGCACATAGGTACCAAATTGTGTACAAGTCATGTTGTATTTCGCGGAAACAGCCGTTATTTCACAGACTCCATCCTACTTTTCCCTTTCATAAACTTTGCCATAGGTTGCTTGCAATCTTCCGCTCAAATAATCACCTGCTGTCAATGTTCCCATACCTTCTGCCTCAACCACGCCTCCTCCGTGACCTACAACCTTCTTGGCAAAACTAGATGCTTCGGCCTCAACAAGTGGCGACGGAATGGAGACGAGTTTAGTGCTGTCCTCAGGTTGGATAAATATGGCGATCGAGAAACGATCTGATCCCGCACCAACTTCGGTCTCCGTATTTGAAAAGCCGTTCGACAATGCTCCCTGGTGGTCCTTATCGGACGCGGCCGGGGTAGTCAATACAACACGGTGAACAGTCGACCGCAACAAGCCATTGGTCCAGTAGCTCAGAAGGTCTCCAATATTGACTACAATGGGTGGAAGGCTGTCGCTGTGATAGTTTGGAGGAAATACGGGCACGCTCGCCCACGTCTGATGATCTGGTCTTAGGATCTCGAGGCCCGGCTGTCCAGGTCGTGTGAACAGGAGTGTGATGCTGCCATAGTCCGAGTGGGCGCCTGCTCCAATGTCGGCTTCGGGATTGTAATCTGTGTCAGGGGGCAGCGCTGGATAGTAGAGAAATCGCGCCGTATTTGGAGACCCCTCGTGTGTCCGTGCCAGCCAGTCGACATCTGAGATGGAGAGACCTAGAGCGATGAGACGAAGGATGCGGGTAGCTAGGCCTCGACAACGCGCATGAAAGTCGCGCAGCGTGGCGTCTTCCTTCTGGAATTCTGAAGGTAAAGGCTGACGCCAGTGGCCCGTCGTATGATCCGGCTCTGCAAGGTTGAAAGCCTGCTTGAAATCACCTCGGGTGTGCTTCTCGGGGTCCAGATTCTCAACGTGCATACCCACGTAGCCTCTGTTGTGTTTGATTGCACATTGTTGCTTCTCAGAAGCAGGTGCCTCCTTAAAAAAGCGTTTAGATATGTCGAAGGCATTATCGACTGTTTGTTCGTCGAGGAAGTAGTCGCCGCTTTTCGCAGCAGAGTCTCCATCAGAAGCAGGGGCCGCGACGATCCACAAGAAGCCCCATCTGGCAGCGGCTTCGACAATTTGCCTTCCTAGTTCTGGTGTTTCTTGAGATACGTCAAACAGAGGAAGATCGACGGACTCATCGGCTGCTGGTACAGTACCGTTTGGAAGCTCTACCAAAGGCATGTCGCACGAGTTTGCTGAGCTGAAGGTCTCGAGCAATGATGTGTAGCTGTGGTAATACAGGCTAAGAAGTGCTTTTGATGTTGGCTGCTGGAGATGATGTTTAGGGTCTGATGAGCTGCTAAATTCTAGATGTGGTGGGCCTCGAGTCATGGCCGGGTCCGTCCGATTGAGGGTAGTGCGATCTGACATCGCCTCCGCTTCGTACTACACTACATCAAGACCCAACAAACGGGATCTAGGCTTCTGGTAATCGGCCAATCAAATCTCCTTCTCTTTTCTCTTCTTTGGGTATAGTTTTCATAACAAGTCTCCACGGTGCTCTTTAGGGTAGCGAGCTAGTTCATGTTACAAATTGCAGTCGATATATTGAAGTTACAGAAAGGGTATTAAATGGACCAATTTCGAAAATGAATGGCAGGTAGTATGCTGCATCGAATACATGTACTCTATAATCTTGGGACTTTACTAACTCGTTCGCTGATGAACAAGTCGCCCTCCAACCCATACTCTGGATGTATTTCGATCATCTCCACAGTAGACCCATTTGGCAAGTCGGTCATCCCAACTTTCCCAACCAAACACTTTGTAATTCCCAAGGTCGCGGCTTGGTTCGTGCTCGCTATCAAGAGCATCGAATGCGACGAGCTGGGCATCAAATTGCATGCCAACTTCAAATGCACCAAGCCTGTCCTTCCAGCCGACAACATCAGCTCCACCTCTCGTAGCCAACCAAAGTGCTTCTTCGACTGTCAATCTCTCGTTGTCCAGCTTTGGGACAGACTCCTCAGCAACTTCTTCACCCTCTGACATACCAGAGACCGACTGCTTCTGCTCAAACTGCGCGCTCAGTAAACGGCTTACTAAGCACGCATGCCTTGCTGCTTCTAGAATGCTTGGGCTGTATCCCCCAGACACATCGGAGCCCAGACCAACAACGATACCATGGTTCATTAATTGTCTAACACGACACATTCCTGATGCTAGGGCTGAATTGCTCACCGGGCAATGTGACACTTTGGCTCCACGAGCTGCAATAACGTCGCGCTCGGATTCCGCAAGGTGGATTGCATGTGCAAGGATAGTACGCGGTGTAAGAAGACCATGTGCATCGTAAACTGCAGTGTAGTCCTTATGAGATGGCCACATTTCTTGTACTAGGACAAGTTCCGACACGTTTTCGGAAAGGTGAGTTTGAATGCGTAGTGGATACGTCGGGTCATTTGCCATGTCTCTAATCATTGCGAGCTGTTCTGATGTGCAAGACGCCGCCGACCTAGGCGTAAGAATAGGTGCAATGCGCTGACCTGTTGGATCTAGGGACCTAACATACTCGATGACGGCAGTACTGTCGGCTTTTGATTGATGTACATCAGCGTCGCGATAATAGGGTACTAATGCACTTGGATGGTCCATGCAGATCCTTCCAATGAGAGCTCTTTGACCCTTTTCTGAGCAGATCGATGCCAACAGATTTGTCGACTCAACGTGTGTTGTTGCATAGTACGCTGCAGTTGTCGTTCCATGCGCGATCGTAGCAGACACGCAAGCATCGTATACCTTCCTTGCCTTGGCTATGTCCGAAAGCGAAGTCTCTAGAGGGTAGGTGTATGTCTTGAGCCATTCAAGGAGTGTGGTTTTGCCAAAGATACCAGAATTTGGAAACTGTGGGGCGTGTATGTGCGTATCTAATGTAATGTCAAATCACTTGGTGTGCTGAAATACGTTGAAATTCTTACCTATGAACCCTGGAAAGAAAAATTCATTGTCGGCTGCGTTGAAGATTGACGTATCACCAAGGGACCAGCCCATCTCTTGAATAGTCATATCCACTGACAGCACATCTGAATTCTCAACTTTAACCACGCGTACGATGGCACCATCACGATCGACTAGCATAACACCTTGGAAAATCGAAATGAGTGTCGGGGTATGACAGAATACAAATGTCCCCGAAAACGCACTTTGAGTTGCAGGCTGCTCCATCGAGATCGATTTGAAATAAGCTGTCTGGGTCTTGTATAACCAAGACGACTCGATGATGAGAAATGTTAGAGCAAGGAGAGTGAAATATTGTCAGACTTTCAATCGTCGACGAATCGCTTACGTCAGTAAGAACCTTGCTCTCATATCTGTTGATGTCATAGAGATGAGCGTAGAGGTCTTGGCATACCTAAGAAATGCAGTTCCGTATTCTCCTGAATACGAGCAAATCGAATTTCAGAATGTCGAATCAATGTCATTGTCAGGGAGACGTCCTTCATGAATCTGGTCGAGCCAGTATCCCCTTGCCCAACTGTCTTCGGATGATGCGACTTGGCCAATCACGAAGCGCGATGAATTATCAATTTCGGGTTAGACTACTTTGGACATTTGCCGATCCAATTCTTGAGTGTATCACCAACACAATATTTGAAATCTATCTCAGTCCTATGCATGGATTGTGATCAGTCAGATCATCCTCAAGAGCTGAGAGGCGGGGACCTCCGCGATAGAATGACCAAGATGATGAGATGCTTACACCACGCTACTGATTCACGATGTATGATAAATACTCTCACCCAATGCGCTCTTTCAGCTTTTGTCTGAGTCAAGTCGAAACTTGTCTTCGTCAAATGCTTAATGTTGATCTCGCCTATAGAATTCGCCCCAAAAATGCTCTTCACCGACGCCACAATCATCACCGTCAACGAGAAACGGGAGATCCTCCTTGACGGTGCCATACTTGTTCAAAACAACATTATTGCTGACATTGGCAACTCAGATGTGATGAAGGGTCTTTATCCCACTGTTCAGCAGAAGTCTCTTTCCGGACACATCATCATTCCTGGTCTCGTTTCAACCCATATGCACACGGCCCAGACACTGATTCGAGGTGCAGCCGATGACCTTGAACTTGTCTCCTGGCTTTGCGAGCGTATTTGGGTATTCCAAGGCAATTACACAGAGGAAGATGCCAGAGCATCTGTAGAAATCAGTATCGCGGAGATGCTGAAGACTGGGACCACTTGTTTTCTCGAAAGCATGGTGAGTGGCTTGCTTGCGTGAAGAATCCTCAAAGTCTGATAATGAATTCTTTGCAGTTTGCCGATAGGTATAATTTCAATAATCTCTGCGATGTTGTTGAGAAGTCTGGCATTCGAGGGTGCCTTGGCAAGATTGTAATGGACATTGCACGTTATGCAAATAACTCCCAATGGTCGATGCACCCCGGCATGATCGAAACCAAGGAACAATCCCTCGGAGGAGCCATAAAGATGTGGGAGAAGTGGAACGGCGCAGCCAATGACAGAATTCGGGTGTGGTTTGCCCCACGACCTCCTGGCGGGTAATATGCTGCTCTTGATTTAATTGAGACTCAACTGCTGACTGATGAAAGTGTCACCGAAGAACTGTATCTAGAGATGTCTGCAATCTCAAAAGCAAAAGGAATTCCTATCACAATGCACTGCGCGGAGGTCAAAGCCGATAGAGCCTTTCATGAGTCCGTGTCCCATACTCCGACTTCATATTGCGAAGATGTCGGTTTGTTAGGGCCCCAAACAGTCTTGGTGCACATGGTTCACCTCGACGATTCTGATATCAAGAAGTTGGCCGAGACTGGTACACACGTCGCTCACTGCCCCACGTCGAATTGCAAACTCGCGTCTGGAATCTGCAGAGTTCGAGATATGCAGAAAGCAGGAGTGAACATTGGTCTCGGAACAGACGGTGCGCCTTGTAACAATTCTAATGACATGTTCCAAGAGATGAAGCTCGCTAGCATACTTCACAAGGCTGTCTCGTTCGATCCAAAGGCAGTCCCAGCAGAAGATGTGCTTGAGATGGCAACGATCAATGGTGCTAGAGCCCTTGGCCTAGAGAGCAGTATCGGTAGCCTGGAAATTGGAAAGAAAGCAGATTTTGTAGCAATAAATACTGAAAGCGTGCGGATGAAGCCTTGGTATTCGCCTGTTAGTGCGGTGGTTTATAGCGCTACAGGTAGCGATGTGGACACAGTCGTGGTTGACGGGCAGATTATTGTGCAGCATGGGACGTTACTTACCATGAACGAGGATGAGATTTGTAAAAGGGCTGATCGACTTGGACATGAGGTTGTCAAACGAGCGGGGAAGACAGAAGACGTGTGGGGAAAGTGGCCACTTGTACAAAGTGTTAGCAACTTTATACCTTCAGCGGCTCTTGATGTATAAAAGCCTCCGTCGACAGCTCATGTAAGGTCTTGCGATATGGACCTTGGATGTAAATGAAGTCTGCCAGTGCTTCTTCCAGCTCTACTTTACTTCCAATGGAAAGAACTTGCGCAATGACCTGGAGCTGCTGGAGAAACCAGGTGAAAGTCCCAGTATTTCGAGACGCATGTGCGCCAAGGAAGAGTAGCCAAAGAAGGAGCCGACGGTGTCCAAGATTGTGGCCATGGAGCAAGTCATCGGTTTGTGACCACCTCTGTCTCAAATGATATGACAAATTAGTCAAAATGGCACAGGAGCTGTCGAAGTTTATCCAGAATGCTGTGTTGATGAAAATCAAGAGCCCAATGTAGACACAAGCTTCAGATGGATTCTTCTCAGGCAGCTCCATGGCTAAATGACAGAGAAGTTCTTGTTCTAGAGCAAGTCTCTGGTAGAGAAATAGGCAGGAACCCTCCGGTTTGTCGAAGTTAGATTGATCTGGGGCCCGAGTGTACAAGGCGAGGTCGTAGATCTTCTCGAATATTTGTTGACAGAATGGGGAGATGCCCAGCATGGAAGAATGTGTCTCAAAGTAGGACAATGATGACCGGTGAGCGGTACCTACACAGCTTCTAACTCGTTGTGTCGAATGATCTGTGCTGAGAATAGGCAGAAGTGGCATTGTCAATCCCACACAGGCGGTCTTAACGTCTGCAGCGAGTATTCGTTCATACCATAACCACGAGATCCCGTCGCTTCCACCTCTCATTTCGAGTACTTGCCGTATCGCTGACAGATGCATCAAGGCACGATCCAGCCTGCCCAAATCGACCGCCTCAAACATGGCCAAGTATGAGATAAGTCCCAGAGTGACCTCGCAATTCGAGTCAACGGTGAAGTTTTCTAGTCTTTTCCGTATTCTCGCCGATGTCAGGGAAGTATACAACAGCCGAGGTTGATCAGATAGGGCTGTGCCGGTGCTCAGAGGCAGGGCCCGACTGATCGATTGTTGTCTCACTGCAGCAGAGGCTGCTATAGCGTACAGTAACCCCTCGTCTTGGACGGCCAAGGCACCAAAAGTCCGTAGGAATCGATCGGGTTGGCAATCCTCGGAGTGAGAACGCCACATCGAAGTGGCAAAGAAGACAATATATCCATGGAGAACTGCGTCGATAGGGACAGCGGCTGCAGCAAACGGATCGCCATTGCCTTGACCAATTCCTGGCATCGACAGCGTCATAATAGCCTCATCCAGCGACTCAGGGCCGTCTTTTCTTTTCAACGGGCTTCGTTCACGAGAAGAGCACCGTATCGTTGGAAGGCGCCGCGTGATCCTTGTTGGGCACAATCTGGCTATCGCATCTGCACGACGTCTCTGCCAAGCCTGGCGCTGAGCATGACTCCTGACCACTGCACGCTTCCTTGACTTAGCCGACCCCGTTTCCAGGACAAATTCGAAGTTTGACTGGAACGACATTGCTAGGCATGAAATGATCATGGGGCTGAAAGAAGTGGGTGGTAGGTTTGGTAAGAGACAAAAATGTTAGGGAGGCGCTTCGCCGCTGAAAGGAAAAGACGTGTAAGCGCGGCATTAAGCGATCGGTAACACTAACATCGGGTCCTGCCTTCTGACTCATCCCCAACAAACTAGCCTAGAGCTGCATCAGATTGATGCAAAGCAGCTATTCACCCTGATGGCCAGGTGCCGCGTCTTATATAATGTGACTTTGAAAATGAGTCTTACAGTTGAAAATATTCCAGGATGTAACTGACCAGCTTTTGCCGACCTCGGTGCTGATGATCATGAAAATTCCTTGAAAGTCCGGAAGTCTGTCTTCGTACAGGGTGATCTCGCTCCTGCCATTGGGGAACTAGAATGTTCTCTCAGGGTGATATTGCGTTGCAAGAGCTAGGAAATCTCTCTTGTCGAATCCTCAAATCCGTGTGTTTCCTTCTGGTATCTATCCATGCTTATCTCCACCTGAAAATCCACCAAAATGTTCTCATATAAAACGCATAAATAGCTGTTGGATCTCAGAGAACTCAATCAACTGTTTCCAATGAACTCTGAAGTTGCATATGGGGAGAACGGTAGCGGTCCAAGTCTTTTGCTATGGCTCCTACGATCCTCCTCGTCACTGGTTGGCCTCTTTTCTCTTACAAACTATGGTATATTCACTAGGAAATCAGGAGCCACTTTAGGCGTAGGATTTGCTACTTCGAAGGTCTTTGCTAGTTCAACACAGACCTCACATGTCATCATGGCTGGCCGTTCTCTGGAAAAAATCCCAGCTGCACGAAATTAGATCGAAATCGCCTGCGTCAAAGGAAGCATGCCAGTTGTACAGCTGGATGTGACGAGTCCATAGAAATGCTGTCATTATCCTTATCATACCCCAAAACCCTTAGCCTAAAGATGGCCGACTGATGGTATCTTCCTCTTGCATGTATCTTACAATAAAGATCACGAAGATCCCGCCAAGTATGTCCAAGACAACAACTAGCCAAGTCAGTTTAGAGCGAGAATGTAGTAGACGAGCCGTTGATGAAGATAACATACATATTGTAAACACGGCTCCTACTCCGATGGCGTGAATCAACGGAATCACCGCAGCTGTACTGGCTGCGCTGAATAGATATTGCATGATATACTTGGCGCCAATGACTTCCGACCGATGAGTCGGCGAAACCTCTTTGAGATACCAATCAGCACTAAAAGACAAATGAGACGCAAGAAGAGACATGAATCCACTCACCAGCTGCGTACGTGTTGAGGGCGTTGAAGGTGCCCATCTATGGAAGCTCTCGTTAGACCCCTGAATTGTTATGAAAGCATAGTGCTTGGGAGAATTGCTTACCAGCCCAACCCCAATCCAGAATGCGCTGACAATGAGCAACGCCAAGCCTCCAACACCCTTTTGCAGAGTCCAGCCGAAGATCAACATCGAGGCAGGAAGAATAAACAGCAAGCCAACCAGACCACTGTTCAAGCGGTCCTTTGGGATGCGCACTCCATCGCGTTTGACAATGTAGCGCTTGACAGTGCGGTCTGACAGCTGTCCTCCTACGATACTACCGCATATGAATCCGACGCCGGGAGCTATGTAGAAAAGCCCGCTCACTAGAGGAGTACTGAGGTGGAATCGAGGATTAATAATCTCTCGCACAGATGCAAGAAGCCCATACTGTGTTACTGCCAAGAACCCACAGACAAGATGCTAGACAGCCTTTAGTAAACGCCAACCACATAAATTCTCGAAGAGGCGAGATGCCTACCGCCAGGAATATCTTGAGAACTAGGAATTGCTTGAGTGTTCCTCGGGGATCGAACATTGCGGCCAGATCTCGAAGCTGACGCCCTATGTCGTGGCCGGATCTAAAATCGAAAAGTTTGTCTTTCGTCTTCGGCAAGGTCAAAACAAATGACAGGGTTAGGACCAGGCCTAAACAAGTCATGCCAGTCTGCACCCAGTAAATGACTCTCCAGTGTGTGAACGTGACAATAACGCCAGATATGCACGGTCCTGAGCCAAGAAGAGACGTTAGTGATCCGGCCCATACGAATGGGTTTCAGCGCAATTAACAGCATACGTACCTACTGCCGGCCCCGAGACCGATCCCGTCATAAACAAGCCATTGGCACGTCCTCTGGCGGTCTTGTGCCGTCAAATAGTTAGTGCATGTCATGACTATCAATCCGCCATGATCAGCTCTGGCATTGACGTACCGGAGGAAATATATCTGTCAAAATCGTCTGGCCCGCAACCATGAAGTATGTCCCTGGAACCCCTCCAAGAAGTCTCATCAAAGTGAAAACCGCCGTGTTCGGGGCCAGCGCAGTCCCGATGGAGGCTCCGAGCAGAATAACGATTGCCGCTGTGTAACTCCGCTCTCGGCCCCATATACGACCCAGCGGCACCCACATCAGGGAAGAAGAACCCATGAGCAGCAACATCGCCGCGTTGATGATGTTCAGTGTGGTCGGTGTTGTGTTGAAATCTGCGGAGATCTCGTTTGTTGCCACAAACAAAGAGGTACTTGACCATGTTATGGACAGAGCCATCCAGCTAATCACAAAGAGAACGGTATATCTGCGCCATGTTGGCAGCACGTATCTGGTATCATCGTGTCCACTTGGCGGTGCTATGAAGAGTAGTTGT